GCCTGGCACAACGGGACCCTCTAGGGCAAGGGGTGAGGCCGGAACAAGGGCTGGGTGAGCAGGTGCACCAGCCACCTCCCACTCCTGGGGAGGATGCCCCAGCATTTCCCTGCCCTCACTCCTGGAGGGTGGGGGGAGGGGAGGAAGGGTGCACTGCAGGGACGTGCCATGGTTAATGGAGGGGGAGGTAGCGTAACACCCCCCCAGAGAGCGCCAGCCCGGCGCAGCTCCCACACGGAGGAGCACAGAGACGGGCATATGGACTTCAGTCAGATGGGCAGGAGGGAGAGGAGGCCGGAGCGGGAGTCAGACACAAAGCTCTCCCCCAGCAGAGGGGGGCCCGACTGGGGGAGCCCCGAGGAGGGGCTGGGAGCTTCGCTGCTTCCCGGCAGGGACCGTCCCTCCCAGGGAGCGCGGAACAAGCTCAGACTTGTGCTGAGAGGAAGGTCTAGCCCCCCCCTCGCCCTTCTCCAGCAGTCAGTGGGGGATGGGGAATGCAGCAGGACCCCAAGCCAAAGCAGCACAGGGGGTCTGGGGCTTGCACCCAGCCTGTCCCCGGCAAGGAGCTCCCTCCTCACCCCTCGCTCTAGAGCTCGAATTCCCAGGCCCCCCTACAGCACGCCCCCCCCCCCCCCCCGGGGTGGTTGGACTCACATGACAACAGCAGCGCTGGCATCCGGGAATCCAGCACCGAGGAACGTCAGTGAGCAGTTGCCCAGATCCAACCTGGGAGGAGCAGAACAGTCAGAGGCTCTGGGAGCCCCAATGCACCCCCCGAAATGCTATCCCCTCCCCCACCCCACTTCCTTCTCCATACACCCCCCTCCCCCACCCCCTTCCTTCTCACGACTCCATGCACCCCCTCCCCCATCCCTTCCTTCTCCCCACCCCGCCCTGCACACGACTCCATACCCCTCCCCATCCCTTCCTTCTCTCCCCCCCCCGCCCTGCCCTGCCCTGCACACGACTCCATACACCCCCACCCCCACGTCCCTTCCTTCTCCATGCACCCACAGGCCTCCATCCCCCCCTGCACACGACTCCATACCCCCCCCACGTCCCTTCCTTCTCCATCCCCCCACCCCCACATTTCCCCCATCCATATCCTTGTCCTAGGCAGGCACAAGGCTGGGAGGTCTGAGCTGGGCTCCAGGGGCCAGGCTGGCTCCATGGAGGGCTCTGCTGCCGTTCATACTGGGGGGGGCTCCTACTGCCAACAGCGGTTCCAGGCTCTCCCCGCCTGCACTTGGTTCTTCCGGGATGCAGGGGCCCAGGGAGTGTCACCTCTGGGGGCTCCCTGCCCCCCGGAGACTCAGCAGAGGTAGGGGTGAGGCACCTCCCCTGCCCAAGGCTGCGCCTCTCCTACCTATCCCACAACCAGCTACCCCTCAGCCTGGCCGCAGAGACCCACTGGGGCCCTGGTGCTGCCAAGGCCCAGAAGGGAACCTCTGGGGGCAGATGTCCAGGCTGCCCCATTGCTGGTCTGGCTGGGGGGGCTGGGCGTGCCTAGGGCCGGCTGCCCTGCCAGCCTCTAGGCCCAGCCCTGCGCCCCCCTGCGCGGGCAGTGGTGGGGCCTGACCCCCTCGCTCGCTCACTCACCCCACGATGACGGGCTCCGGCTCCCCGCTGAGGCAGCAGCGCCCCTGCAGCGCCAAGGCCGGGCGCGACGCGCAGTAACTGGCCACGCTGGAGACGGTCCGCACCGGGCCGGGGCAGCGGCTGCAC